GTCACTATTTTAATAGTCGGTATCAGCTTTCTTACCGATAAGGGACAATATTGCTATGATTTTAAAGTTTAGAGGCAAATTTGCATCCTAAAAAAATTTCAAGTGTTTAGTGCTTCTGAGTAAAAACTTTTATGACGAACTTGCACCTTAACTCATTAATATAATTCAGAAAACATGTATGAGATCAAAAAAATTCCCAAAAACACGCGCTGATATTTAGGCGAAGAAATATTACAAATAACAAAATTTATTGACGCTGCTTTACTGATAATAAATTAATTTCATACAGTACACTAGTAATGGTTTACTGAAACAAAATAAGGAGAGAAAGTAAGTTACTTGCATTAGGTTTTTGTTGGAAGATCGATAGCGATGATTTGAAGCCAGCAGAAAATAAGGAAGAAGATGAGGTGCATATGTATAAAACAACATAGTGGCAGTGTCTTCTTTGATCCTTCACAATACATGAAACTATATATGAAGCCATTATTGTAGCCAATTGCTCCATGCCTACCCAAAATGAAGGTGATGTAGAGAAGAATCTTTTTACTTTACTATATTGTTCGGACCTGGCGACAAGGTTGCACAAACTACAATAAACCAAAATTTAAAATTAACAATTTGTCTGGAGAAAGTTTGAACTTGGAAGACGCGTCACAAGTTTGAAACCTTCAGGGGTATTGTGAGGAAAAATAACGAGAGGAAGAAAGTGACTATTATTAATTTATTACCCGTATTACTTTTATTACTGTTTCTTCCTTTTCAAATATAAGACCTATTTTGTAAAGTAATTTGCACTATAAAATGAGTTTCATATTTAAGACCGGAGGAGAAAGGGTAGAGTTAATGGAAAAGGGAGATAAAAAATTAATTTTGGGTTATCCTAGATTCTTTGAATTTTAAGCACTCTATGCGGTATATGTTATATGCGGTAAATATGAATATTTTGTGATCTCCATCATATTGTTTATTATTACTATTATTAATATTCTGAGTCCCATCAGCAATAAAACCCATATGCTCTCTCCCCCTCCAATAGAACATCCAATTACATGCCACAGAATAAATCAACTCTTAGAATATACTTACTTCAGTCCTTAATATAAGATATTGTTTGAATTTCATCTTGATCCTAAATATAAGAACCCACTCCACTTTGTTTCTTATATTTATACATTTTTTTCAAAGTAGTCTTTCTAACAATGGTAGTTCTAACCAATACATTTGATTAGTAAGGATATTTTAGGAAAGACAATACCTATTTAAGACAAATAACTAACTCAACTTACTTTCTTAATTTTCTCAAATTAGTAAACTATCTCTTATAAGTAGGATCGGAGGGAGTAACATTGATTTTCCAAAACACCTTTGAAACTACCCTCTGGGTTTTTTTTTTTTGGGTCGAAAATGTTATACATATTTTCTCAATGCTTATTACTTGTCATCATAATATATATGTGTGTATGTATATGTAAACCAAAGGAAAAAACAAAATTTATGTAATATTTATTTGCCCCATCCCTTCTTATAAGATTTTTTGTAGAACATCTCTTCATCCCAAAATATAAGGGATCTTAATCATATTTTTTCCAATCATTCCACCCCGAGCCTCTTAAAAATTGTAGAAAGTACTGCATATTAATGGTATTTCTTTTATGGACGGAGTATGTAAGATTTTTTTTTTGTTTTTTGTTTTATTTCCATTTATTGCCAATGCGTGACACTATTTTACATTTTAAATGCCTCCATTCAATATTCTCCTTCTAAGCAAGGATATTATCAGAAACACGAAAATAATTATACTTTAAAATTTGAAGCGTGTATTTAACGCCACCCATTCAATAGTGGCAACTTCTTTATATACATTCTCGTCAACCGTGATGTTGTCAGCCCCATGCAGCCTAACCTGTTTATTTTTCTCGCCAACTGAAAGTAACTTTGATTAAAAAGAAACCAAAGTCTGAAAACATAATAAAAACACAAAAACAAGAAGAAAAATAAGTGAAAAGAGTTAGAGAAATCAGCCACAAAGTTGACTTCTCAGGGAATTCACAGATTTAGCTAATGAATCAAGTCGTTGAAAGAGTCCTCTTGAGGAGGCAAAAAAAAAAAAAAGGGAATGAAATGAGAACATTCAACTAAACCAAGCCCTTTGATCAATAGATCCTCATATGGGGTGTCATATACATAGTGATGATTTTAGAGTGAGAGAGGAAAGAGTGGGAAGAATGACCCTAATTTTCAGCCCTCATTTTTTTTTTTCTCCAAATTTAAGGAGAAATAGTTGTTAGGGGCAATTATATCTTTCTCATTCCTCAATTAATTCCATTTGGCTCCTTTAGTCCAGCAATGATGTTTCGGAATTATTTGGTCTAGAAATTATGTTGCTACATAGGTCCTTAATTGAAATTTTCCCATAAATAAAGAAATTATCAGGACTAAATTGGAGTATTTCAAAGGTGGATGTACTGTAGTAATTTTTTCATGTACATGGAAAATCATAAATTTTTTTGCGGTTTATTGAGTGTCTTAAGATATTTTTAGGTGTATCTAGTAATTTATAATATTTTTTAGTGCAAAAAATCTGAAAAATATATTTGAGGTGCTGGATGCACCAAAACATAATTGAGGATACTAGATGCATTTCCCAAAATATTTTAATATATTGAATGTACCTAAAAAAATACTTTAAGATGATTGGTTGGATCTTAAGCCATAATTTAATGTTTTAAAATTGTGAATATAATATGGGCAATACTCATATCAAGTGTTCCAATCACAAGTAACCGTATATTTTATTTTTAAAATATTAATATTTAATTGTGAATTCACATGAAATAGAAATAGACAAACGACCATGAATTTCACCTAAGTTTTTTTCATATAATATCGATTGCCTGCTCATTTGTTACAACATTTAAATTTTACTCGAAGTCCAATAAAGTAGTTTTTTTTTTTTCTAAGATCAGCAAGTCCAATAAAGTAATTAATTCATGATCTACCGCGGTCTCTTTTTCAAAGGGTTCAACGTATACAAGCAAAATAAAGTGACATATTATTTAAATTTTTTTTATAATTCACATATTTATTATACTATTTTTCACCAGTTTGAATTCACAAACTCACGTTCAGAATAATCTTAAGGAGAGTTGAAATTGAAGAAAAAAACCCATAAGAGGTTCCCCTTAATTTTGGACCAAATACTCTCAACACGATAAATAATATTAAGACAAAATAATATCAAAAATAAGAAAACATAGAGAGTTAACTAGACCCAATATTCACGATAAATTATTAGTCTGAAAAACCACATAGTAAAATGAAGTCGAATTTTGGAGATGTGCACCTGTAATCACATTTCCAGTCAAGATCTTCCCCATCCGAACCTTACATATCCCATTTGACTTCGTAACACAATCATTTTGGGTTCCAGAAGACCCTAAATTAATTGCAATGCACGATTGAACCAAAATGATACGCACACCAAACTTTCAAAAAACCAAGAGCCATGAAATGAAGGGAGGAGCCTCTCACGCATCCCATGCCAGAAATGTGACCCTTCTTATTGTTATAGTCATCAACACAGCCTTTAACCACAATTCAATATATATTCGTCATCGTCCTCTTCATCTTCATATCTTCATATATTCATATTCCTCTTTCTCTTCCTCTTTCTGTTTCTGTTCCACTTCCTCTTCCTGAATATCAATTTTACGTAAGCCTTAGTAGTCACAACCATATCAGGCAAAAAAGAGATCAACAATTCCAGTGACAAAATGGCCTACACTATCTAGCTAATTAGGACTCAGTTGTCAGCATAAATCCAAACGACATTATTTAAAAACATGAAATACTTATACAACAATTGGTCTGTGTAACATCCCCATTTTAATTCAGGACAGTCATCTAAGGTTCAGAGTAGCTTAGTTGTGTTCTTCATTGATGTATAGAAGCACGTGGGATTGTGAATGAAGGGGATATATATATATATATATATATATATATTATGTAGAGAGAGAGAGATTGTTGAGGAAAAGACCATTTGGGGTCCGTCCGTTTGCTGACACAGATTGAACGCAGCACATTCGGATGCGAACGTCAACAAAAAGAGGATATGATTTCTTCAATCATGTTCTTGGCAAAAAATGACTCTGGCTGAGTGTTTTAAATTGATGAAAATGATCGATACAAAGGAGAGGAAAGAAAAGATATTTTTGAGAAAAGCAGTTTTCCTCTGATAGGGCTTGATAAAACCCAAGATTGGTGTTCTAATTTGATTTTCTACTCTTCTACCTTAGATTGGGATTTTGAGATACTTGAAACTAGGGTTTATGAATGGTTTGAATTCGATTCTAAGGAGTTTATACCTGTTAATTTGTGTTTAATTAAATGAATCAATAGGAGTTGATTACTAGTATTTAATTAGTTTAATTTTGATCTGTTGCATAACTATGATGATTTCACCATTAAAATGGAGGAAGAAGGCCAAAAAAAAAAAAAAGAGAACCCTTAAGAGTTTTTGTCTCATATTTTTGGATCAGATCTAAAGTGGATTTTTAATGCTAAAACCAAAACCCAAAAAAATAGACCCAACACCAACATTCATAAGAAATTATTAGCACGACAACCATAAAGCATACATACATATATAAACAGCAAAAGTATTAACACTATCGAAAAATAAATAGCAAAATTAATAGATCTTTCATTTTCTCGATGCGTCAATGAATGTTGAGGACATAAATTTAATCAAGGAATCGTCAACTTTCATCATTGCGAAAATGAAGTGCTAGACTTAAAGTCAAACAACAGAGTGAAATAAGGACAAACATGGAGTAATTGAAAAGCCAAATTTAATTTGATATAAATTCATGTCAGACGATTTTTAAAAATTAAAATGGAGAAAAATAAAGCAAACACAGACAATAGCAAAATGTTCATATACGTATATTATGAAGATAAATAATGAGATGATATCCATATTATAATAAACAAGAAAGTCAAATCTTGGAGGAGATTTGTACCTGAATATCATATTTCCAATAGGGTCGGGGTCCCAAGAATGTCTCCTCTGTTTTCATTTGCATTTGAAGCTTATATCCTTCTGTGATCTCTATATGAGGGGGGCTTAGTTTCTCACAGTATCGGGCCTCAAAACATTGGAGAGAAGGACAGAGCATGGTCCCTCTGAATACAAAAGTTAATTCTGGTAGAAATTCCAGTCTCAACGATCTCACTTTGGGAAGAGTGATAGTAGGGTTAAAAGTGTTGCCGCCATTCTCTCTAATTATTTCTTCCATCGACTCACAATCTGCAACAGAAATAGTCTCTAGGTTTTGGAGCTGTGCTAATATTTCTGACGTCATCAGAATCGTCATTTTTCTACACCCCTGAATATCGAATTCTCTGAGATAAAGGAACAGGCTATCCAAAGATAGAGGAAGTTGTATCACTATTTGTGTCAAGTTTTTCAGCCCATTAAGGTACAGCCTTTCAACTAACATGACAGAGGCGCAAAATGAGCAAGTGGGAGCGCCACAGAACAAGTACTCCAGCTTATCGCATTCACTTATTTCGAACCATTCAATTTTTGGTAAATTATTATTATTTTTTTGGACCCATAAAGCACGGCAAAGGCAAGTTGTCCTTGTCAAATAGTCACCTTCGATTATAATCAACTCTTTGACGTCTCCTGGTACCGCTACTCTATTTGCCCAATCAATACCACATAAAAGCACCCTTTTCAAGTGGCAGGTTTCTCCATCCAAGGAACCATCATCATCACAAGGTGGTATGACTAAACTTAGATAATAACCTTTGAGTCCGCGATCTTCATCTAGGAAACTTATAACAAAGTCATTAAACTTTTCAATATCACGAAAAGTGACTGATATAACTTTCAGCTTTCTCAAACCTCGTAGATCCATTGACGTTGAGTGCCACCTCATCAACAGAGACTGTAGATTGGTCAATTCGGATATTGTTGATGATGAGATTGTGAACCCATCTGTACCTTCTAGATTCAACAATTCAAGATTGACCAAGAATTCCAAGCCACAAGGTTCTTCACTAATTGCAGTATATGAAAGGTCCAACTCTATTAAACACCGCAGTTTTGCTAATGAAGGGACATACTCCAAATTTTCACATCGTGAAAGCAATAATGCAATGAGACATTCCAAGTTAGATACAGATTTGGGCAAATGCTCAATGCTTGTGTCAGACAAATCAAGTATTTTAAGGGCAGGCATGTTAATAAAAAAATCATCTGGAATCCATTTGAGATGAAAATTAGAATCTAAAAGTAATGCGGAGAGTTTAGAGCACTTGGGAGATGTATCATTAAAAATTTGCGGTATGTTGCTTCTACTTAGAAAAACATTCTGCAAATTTTCATTCCATTTTCCATTCTCTGACAATCCTATTAAATTCATACCATGTTTTGTCATGATTTTTTCAGTCTTCTTTGCAATAGTAAGAGCCATGACCTGAAGTAAAGTGTGCACTCTCCATGTCCCATTCTTTTTCAACAACAAACTGCTATTTTTTAACTTTTGCCACATGGCATAACCTTCATTATATCGCATCGTGAAGCTCTTTGTCCCATCTGTCCATTCCCCATAGCAAAATCTTCTAACCAAAGGCTCAATATCGCTATCCCGAATAGTCTTGCTGACACTAAATGCACAATACAAAAAAAACCTTTGCAATTTATCATTTAAGAAAGAATAACTAGATTTCAATACCTGAAATACCCTCTCATCCATATGATATTGCCCGTCACCCATGTTTTGAAGGCATTCCAACAAATGATCCCATTCTCTTATGTGCTCTTTTCCCTTCATGCTTCTTGCTATCATAACAATTGCAAGGGGCAAACCCTCACATTGTTCTGCCACCGCCCTTGCTTTAGGCTCCACCCCAATCGGTTGTATTTGATGGACTCCAAGAGTCTTTTTAAACAAATCAAAACCATCTTCTTTACTTAGAGGTTCTACTTCTATTATGTTCTTCATGCAATTCATACTTTGGCACACTTCCCATAATCGAGTTGTCAAAATCAATTTAATCCCATTATTTGAAACTGGAAATCCAACCTCTTCTAAATAGATAGGATTCCAAACATCATCTAAAATAAGGACACATCTAGTTATGTGGTTGAATGCATGCAATAATATCCCTGATATCCTTTTGACATCACACTCATCAGATATGTCTAAATTAATTGATCTTGCAATGACTTTTTGCAACTTATAAATGCTATTATCATATTGTGACACGGTAACCCAAATAATATGCTTGAAGTCATCACCAGCTTCTTCTAAAAGTTTGTTATGCACCTGAGTTGCTAAAGCTGTTTTCCCTGCTCCGGCCATTCCCCATATCCCAACAGCTGACACCTCATCTTCTGTTATCCATTTCCATATTTGTTGAGTACTCCTTTGAAACTCTTCTCCCACTAAATCAACTGTCGGCAACAAATGACTTCTAGAACATTCTAGCAATGAGAATAAGAATAATCTATTAACATGAGTTCACAAAAGGAATTATAGATTTCAAATGCAGGAAGTAAGAAGAACAAAATAGAAATAAATTCAATATATTGCATTTAGATATCCTTTACCATGTCTTTAAAACAAAGGAATAATCATCTAGCATGATTTGATGATAGCGGTTACTTACTTCAGGAGAAATTATAAAGAATGTATAAATATTTTTTTACAAATCACTTCTCAAAAAGGGTATATATAGTTTAAGTTGAAGCATATACCTGTTTTCAAACGAACATTTTTTCTCTTCACTGTATTATCAGAATCATCCAATTCCATGTATGTCCCTCTTCTTCCAACATCTTCGACCCCCTTTCTTTTAGTTCCACATAAATCTAAATCTTCTTCACTATGGGCTTTTGCATAACTTCTTGCTGCTTCATCATATAGGCTTTCTTTTTCATTATTCAGGTTACTCTTGAGTAACTTTAAAGCCAAATCTAACCTCTCTTTATCACTGTCAAACTGAAATTTGTCCATATGTATTATTTAATATATGATAGAGTGTTCATACATTCATGTGCATGTGTGTGTACAAGAGCATTTAGCAAAACTAATTTGCAAGTGACCATACCTGAAATAAGGTATTTTGCGTCACATAATGATCTGATTGTTGCATATAATTAATAACAAATATACCACAATCATATCTACATATTGAAAAAAAAATATGATACGGTTAATATGCGTACTTGTTTTAATAAAGACTACAATTTAAAAACAAATCATAAACTCACCCATTAGGCTGTAATAAGATATTGCTCGCCATTCTCCTACCAAATTTCGTGAACATAACATTTCCGAAGAGATTATCCACGGCAAGAAGCTACACAAAAAAGATACATTCTAAGGAATTAAAAGATCAATCTATTACTTGCATGTATATCACGTGCGTCTTTGTACTACTTACCAGGTTCTCTGTTGTTTGGTTGCGTTCAGTTTCATCCATAAATTGATCACATAGAGAATCCCATATTTCAACTTCCTGATTCTTCGTATGAATAATATATAGATAATAATGTCCACATGAATTTTTCTCAACATGAACAGGAATAAATATCTGTGACATGCATGTGATCAAACAAATCAAATTGATATACAACCGAAAAGCGTAATCATTATGAGAAATGAAACATCAAACTAGATTGAAAGATAATACCTTCTCACAATCTACCAAGTTCCACATGTAGTTGTCTATCATATTATGCTGTAGAACAAAGTCAAGGAAGGAACTCACATCACCACTCTTGAGTGCTACATTCTATAACAAAGAATCCGTAATTAACTATTCTTGTCAATTAAATTGTCTTTGATTCAATAACTAACAAATATCATCCAATTGAAAAGAGAATAAGAAATCACCGAAAACATCACCGGAAGATACCAATTCGAAACTTTACTTTTGTTTCTCCTTTCATTGTCAGTGAGGATATCAGCAAAAATATCTATTACCTAAGAAAATAGGAAAATTAAACACTACCATATAGCGAACCCCTTGCTCAATAGTAACAAAATAGAATAAAAGTAGGGTTAAGATACAAATTTATCCCGAAAATTTAAAATCGTAGCAAGATTGCCTCCTATAATTAAAAATATTAATAGCAAACGTTACTATAACGTCAGTTTTCTAGCGGTGGGAAGCGATATGGCTACAATTTTAAATTTTTGAGTAAATTTGCACCTAAAAAACCTTTTTAACCTAATGTTCCTGAGTAAAAATTTTCGAAACAAATTTGCAGCTTAACCAATAAAAGTACAAATAAATACTCACCCCTGAATCCAAATAAGCCCGTGGTCCAAGTGTGGTCAATTGAGATTGAAACAGATATGAACGATGCGACGAAAAAATTTTACATGTATCACTAAAGAACATATAAGGTGAACGATTTAATTAGGCTTCAATTAAAAAAAAAACACTGCTACACATAAAAACACCAATTATATATATAGTTGTGAGCATATGAATCTAACCTTGAATGCTCAAAAACATATTGTATCATCTGTAAGTCAGATTCATCCGCAACATTATTGGGAACACAAAAAGGGCCGACCTTAATCCTCTCTTGATGCATAGCTTTTGTGTCCAGTTGTAATTGTTGGGAAGCCTTCATCCCTTCGCACATTGTTTTTGGGGACATGTAACAATCAAGCATTCTTTCGTTGATGAGTTTGCTATGATCTCTTTGTCCTATAATTAGTTGCGAAAGTCACAACACAAATTCAAACTCTATAAACTGCGAATTAATAGTAGGATACTAATTAAGTTAACTCTCACTGATCACAATTTGAACCATCTAGATTGATTTTGGATGACCTAGATTGAATTTAAATTTTTTAGGTATTTTAAATAATTTTTTGTTTTAATAAATAACATCTTAAAAAAATAAATTTATCAATTAAAAAACACTGAACGAGGACCGGTTCATATGAATCATTCCTCACTCCATTATATGATCAAAAACTGAGGAATAAATTATTTAGAATTAACATACACTAGTCATCACCATCTGCAATTGATATAAACCAGAAAACACGCATGAGGTGAAAAAAAAAATGTTGACACTCCTTATCTGATAAATTAATTTCACGCACTAGTAGTTAATGTTCAATTTCATTTATGTTCACGTTAAAAAGAATAACATTCTCTCTTAAGGAGATTATTACACTTTATTCCTTAGTTACTAATAATACCCTTTCAAGATATACCAAACACACACGCACACCCACATCATTATGCTCTTCCCTCAAATTGAAATATACTCCCTCCGTTCTTTATTACAAGAGACAAATAACCGAATTACGTTGATAAAAAAAAGTTAAAATTAGTTAAGAACAATCAATGTGTAAAAAATATATTTTTTTCCAAAAATGCCCTCATTAATAAGGAGAGAGAACATGAGAGAGAATAATTAAATTATTAAAAGAAAGAGAAGTGGGAAGGAGAGAGAGTGTGAGTTGGAGACAAAATAAATATGGGTAAAATAGGAAATCAATACAAAAAAGTAAAGACAACTTTTAAGTGTTTCTTATATATAGGGACATGCCGTAAACATCAAATGTCTCTTATAATAAGGAACAGAGGGAGTACTATAATATTATCTCGTACCTTGTGAGTGAAGTAGATCCTGTTTCTGGCTGGTGTGTTTGTTGGAAAGAGGAGCACATTAATTAGGTGGCAAAGTCACAACAAAAATTCAAAAATTCTAAACTTTCTAAAGTAACAGTTCCTAAATTTAATGGAACCGGCACTTCCATGAAAGTAACTCCATGTGCCAAAAACCCAAATTTCGAGCTTCACTTCCAATTCCACTACCCACCTCTCCATTTCTATGCTAACAAACAGGGCATAAATAAATTAACTCTTACTTAGTTCATATGAATCAGTGCTCACTCCAATATATGATTAAAAACCGAGAGATGTAATATCTCATTTAGAATTAGGACAATACTTATGTCAAATTTCTTATATCCACTACATCAAGTTTTTCAATAACACATAGTTATGTGTCCTACTTTTGAAATATTAGTATTTAATAGCATTTAATTATAAATTTACATGAAACAAAACAGGACATATGGCCATGTGTGATTAGAAAACAACTTGATATTATGAATATAAGTAACTTGACCTAAGATTTTTTCTCTTAGAATTAAAATATTAGTCACCAGTCATCACAATCCAACAATTAATATAATCCAGAAAACACGCAAGAGGTGGGGAAAAAATCCCAAAAAAAGAACACGTAATGATATTTAGGCGAAGAAATATTGCAAATAACAAAGTTTATTGACACTGCTCTACTGAGAGTAAATTAATTTCACACACTAGTAATGGTTGGATTCATTTATATTCAAGTTGGAAAGAATAACAAAATATATATACTTAATTATGTCACATTTATACTCGAAAATGATATTTTAGTCTCTCTTAATGAGATTATTACACTTTATTCCTCAGTTACTAATAATACCCTTTAGATATACCAACACACACACATATATCATTCTTCCTTCAAATTGAAATTGAAATATATAATATTATATCGTACCTTGTGGATGAAGGAGATCCTGTTTCTGGCTGGTGTCTTTTTTGGAACGAGGACGAGGACAAGTTCGAATACCGTTACCCTTAATTTGATAAACATGAGATTTGATTCGATTAGCACTTGCTGCAAATACCAAGCCACAGCCATAGCACTCTACTTGCTTCCCTCCTTTCAATACAGTGACGTATTCCCACACTTCACGATCCTTAGGCCTTCCACCAGCTGATCGTTCTTTCCCCATTCTCATTCCTCTTTCCTAAGAAAGCTGCCTTTTTCCAGCAATAGAAACCATCGTCACATCAGATTCGGGTTGATATAAAAAGGAAGCTAGGTGACGTTTGAAAATAGATATATTGAATATGGATACCCTACCCAGAGCAAAACCTAAGAGAAACAAAATAAAGAGAGAAAGTGAGTTACTTGCATCAGGTTTTTGTTGGAAGATCGATAGCGATGATTTGAAGCCAGCAGAAAATAAGGAAGAAGATGAGGTATATATATAACAATATAATGGCAGTGTCTTCTTTGATCCTAAACTATTTATGAAACTCTATATGAAGCCATCATTGTAGCCAATTACTCCATGCCTACCCGAAATGAAGGTGATGTAGAGAAGAATCTTTTCACCTTACTAGATTGTTCGGACATGGGAAAAACGTTGCACAAACTAGAATAAACCAAAATTAACAATTAACAATTTGTCTGGAGAAAGTTTGAAGACGCGTCCCAAGTTTGAAACTTGCAGGGGTATTGTGAGGAAAAATGACGAGAGGAAGACAGTCACTATTATTAATTTATTACTCATATTACTTTATTACTAATTCTCCCATCCTAAATATAAGACCTACTTTATAATGTAATTTACACAAAGAAGAAAGGGTACACTTAATGGAGGAGAGAGATAAAAATTTAATTTTGTGTGCAAATTCTTTGAATTTTAAGCACTCTCTGCGGTACATGTTATATACGGTAAATATGATTATTTTGTTATCTCCATAATATTGTTTATTATTACTATTATTAATATTCTGAGTCTTATCAGCAATAAAACCCATATGCTCCCCCCCCAAAAAAAAAACTAGAACATCCAATTACATGGCACATAATAAATCAACTCTTAGAATATAACGTTGATTTTCCAAAACACCTTTGAAACTACCCTCAGGGTTTTTTTTTTTTTTTTGTTGGTCGAAAATGTTATATGTATTTTCTCAATGCTCATTACTTGTCATCATAATATATGTCTGTGTGTGTGTGTAAACCAAAGGAAAAAAAATTATGTAATATTTTTTTTCTCCATCCCTCAGTACAAGAGTTTTTGTAGAATATCTTTTCATCCGAAAATATAAGGGATCTTAATCATATTTTTTCCAATCATTCCACCCTGAGCCTCTTAAAAATTGTAGAAAATATTAAATATTAATTGTATTTTTTTATGGACGGAGCATGTAAGATTTTTTTAAAAAGTTTTTTGACTTCCATTGATTGCCAGCGCGTCACAGTACTTTAAATTTTAAATACCCCCATTCAATATTCTCCTTCTAAACGCGGATATTATCGGAGACAAGAAATAATTATACCTTAAAATTTGAAACATACTCACATATATTTAAAGATAACATGAAATTTAAGTCAAAAAAACAAATTGAGTGCGTTTGTGTATTTAAAGCCACCCATTCAATAGTGGCGACTTCTTTATATACATTCTCGTCAACGGTGATCCTCAACATAATATCTTGTCGGCCACATGTAGCCTAACAGTTTTTTTTTTTTGGGGCCAACTGAAAGTAACTTTGATTAAAAGGGAACCAAAAGTCTGAAAACATAATAACAACCCAAAAACAACGAAAAATAAGTGAAAAAAGCTAGATAAATCAGCCACAGAGTTGACTTCTCTGGGAATTCACAGACTTAGCCAATAGATCAAGTCGTCAAATTAAAAGAGTCCTCTTGAGGGGGGGGGGGGGGGGAATGAGATGAGAACATTCTTCTGAACCAAGCCCTTTGATCAATAGATCCTTATATGGGGTGTCATGCATAATGATGCTTTTTATAAGGGTATAACTCATACTGAGAACCAGCTAGCACGACAAATCTTCTCTTTTTTGGGTTGTTCACTGACTATTTTTCGTCTCTTTTTTTTCCCGAA